TGTCTGATATAAATGTGATAACTGGACTTACTCTGGATCTTGGTAAACACTGTTACTAAACCCATGCGATGGGCCAGCGTCGTCAGATCCTCTAATTAACCTAACAAGTCCAGCATCAGCCACCTTTGCAATGAAATTTTCATCAACCAGCACATTGTTTGTCTTGAAGTCTTTGTGTATCAAAGGAGGATCAAGACTGTGTAGATGATTCAAACCTGCAACAGCATTTTTGCTCACACTATGTTTTGCTCGAGCCAGTGAACCACAAGGCCACAAAGAGGGCAAATCTCAAAGTTTTCATACCTTTAGCTGCTCCAATGGCTATTGAGAGCCTTTGTTTGAACTCAAGCCATGTTGTAGAGCCTTTCCTGGTATCTGGTAGATCGTATGAAGCTTCAGAGGTAATAAAGCAAGAAAGGCTACAATCTTTTTTCCTGACAAAATGTAAACATTACCATACAGATGGCCACAGACACTGCCATTGGGCAGGTACTCATACACCAGCATTTGTAGACCCCCTTCTTGACAGTAACCAATGAGAGTTACGATGTTTCGGTGACGAATCTCTGACAACCACCCAACCTGCATTTTGCAAGGGACGACACTACTAAGAATCAATTTCTAGGCAAAAACAAATGCATTTATATTACTTGTCCTTGGCTAATTTATGGCATTTATTAGACTAGAAAACAACAATGGTTGACAGAGAAAGATCTTCATAGCATCACAACTTATCACTTGGCTAAAAGTGTTCCCTGTCTGCCCTAAATAAGATGCAAATTAACTACAGCCACGTGCTGAATCCAAATAATACAATGCATCCAGAACTTAGAAAATGCCAAAACATGAAAACCGTTGACACTTGACATAGATGCCAAAACAATTGTGGCAAATGCAATTCAGAAACAAAGCAAGTATGACAGTGCAGTCATTCAGCATTTTGCGTAATTTTAATCCCAAAATGCAGAGCAACGCCCCTGGAATCATATTTTGCCCTGACATTGTTACCTCATCAGCAAACACCTGCGTTGCTGCCCCCACACGCCTCTTGATCGCGACAACAGTGCCATCAAGAAGCAGGCCCATGTACACCAATCCGAAGCTCCCCGCGCCGACGATGTTCGCGTCGCTGAAGTTCTTGGTGGCCTGCACCAGGTCCTCCAGCGAGAATTGCCTCGCAACCTGATGCTCCGGCTCCGGTGCCAACGAGCTCCTGCCCCCCTTTCCCCACTCCACTGACGCATTGCGTTAGCAGTTAGCACGGTGAAGGGGGAAACAAAAGAAAGAAAGAAAGACAAGAAAAATTGATGTACACAAGGAGGAGTTACCCATCCGCAACTTACCGAGCGTTGAGGGGTCGGAGGAGCCGGTGTCGGAGTTGCGGTTACGCCGCGCCTTCCGCCGCGCAGCGCACAAGAGCGCGAGCAGCACGGCCGCCGCCGCGAGCAAGGTGGCGCCACCGGCGGCAATGCCGACTACAAGGGCGATCGGCAATGACATCCGGGTGCCCGTGACATCGAATCTGCAAAAGACAAAAAGGGTTAGCTGCAACGCGCTTTTGGGAATGGTGAAGCAACCCCCCAAACAAATATCTGGCATCAAAAGCCACCCTTTTTGAATCCGACTAACCACCCTTTGACCTACCCCGAAATCAGTGAGTGCTGTGGCCTCCGGCATTCATCAGTGCAGGGCAGGGCAGGGCAGCGCAGTAGTCGTCTCCCAAATCGGCGCCTCAATTCGGCAATGCAGCTAGGGACAGGACCCAATCTTGTCTTGTTTTGGAGGGGATGGGGAATTGGCGACGGTGATCGATCAACGAGGGGAAGAGGAAGGTCCAACTCCAAGAAGAGGAGGAGGAGGAGGGGGAAGGGAGCAGCAGCAGGCGAGACCGCGAGAGGGAGGGGATAGATGGAGGCTGTGGTGGTGCGCGGCGACTGCTGGCGCTGGCGCTGGTGTAGGGGGCAGCCTCCCACTCCCACCCGGCCTCGGCTCGGCTCCCCCACATGGCAACTGGGGCGCCAAATTGCGGTGCTGCGGCGTTTTGTCAGTGCGGCCGCTTGCGCCACGCCATGCCCAGTGCCATTCCCATTCTTGCGCCATGGCCCCTGCGCTGCGCTGCCCCCCACATCCATCACCCCATGTGTGTGCGCGCGTCGGGGGGCGTGTGCGCCTCAGGGCCGTAGGGGTAGGGCCGTGCGGGTTGGAGAGGGAGGGAGGGGTTGGTGGCTTGGTGCTGGTGGGGTAGGAATTTTTTATTTTTATTTTTTAATCAATATTTTAATACTAAATTTAAAAAAAGTTTTTTTTTTAAAAATGACTCTTTTGGTTGTACCAGCGCGGCTAGCGCGACATTATAACACTATCCCGCCACATGCCCTGACACGACAGGGGGAGCCACGCTGGCGTCGATGGTTGACCGGAGCTGGCGTGGCGTAGCGTGGGCCCTGGCCTGTCGCGCCAGCGACTCTGGCGTGACAGGGCTATCGCGTCAGACGTGCTAGCGTGACAGGCCCATATAAGGCCGCGACCCACCTCCTTATTCCTCCCTCTCTTCTCTCTCCCTTCATTCTGGGTGAGCTCGAGGTCAGCTCCTGTTGCTCTCTTCTCTCTTCTCTTCCTCTCATCCTCTATTTGCCTTTGATCAAGTTTGCATTTGCATTTCAGGTTTGAACGGTCTCATGCATAAGGTATGACTCCCTCACCTCTGTTGTTTTTTTGTGTTTAGTTGATGATTATATACTGCTCTGGTTTACACTTATGTGTGTAATACTAGCTTTCGTTTGGTTGAATGAAAGTTGCTTTGGCTAATCACGTCTAATATATTATGGTTCATGTTGTACTTGTTGAACTTTTATGATTTTTGTGATGGATTTTGGTTGCCAGTGCCTTAGGGTTTGAGCGCATTTGTTTAGACAGCAGTATGGTTTGGACTGTTGTTAGTAAACTTTCTTGAAAGTGTGTGATTTGAAGTTTTTTTGTGCTGATTAGATGTATAGATGAGTTAGACTATGTATTTATATACATCATTTACATTCAATAAGTTAGTTTTAGGGTTTGGCTCCATGGATTTACATGATTATAGAGATGATTGACATGAAAATTGTTGTTGAACTGTGTAATAGTATTTGTTCATATTTTTACTTTGTTGAACTACTTTGTAATAGGTTCAATGACGGTTCCAAATAACAACCAATTCATGTACAATCCGAAGGATCATGGTGCTATCAGTCCTTTTCTACCAGCAGAGCCAACATCGTTGTGTTACTGTGGGTTATCGACATTTGTGAAGCAGTCAAGGCATCCCATGTTAGCTGGGCGTGCTTTCTACTGTTGCCAACTTAAGCATCATCCCACGACACTTGATGCCTACCTAGAGGGATGCAGCTTCTGTCAGTGGATCGACGACGATGAAATGTTGGATCTATCGATTATGTTGTTTTTTATAACCCCCTGGAAGAGCGTTCCATATTCAGAATTTGTTCGTTGGGTTCCGTCGCCACCGAACCCTCCAAAAATGACAGAGGCGGAGAAGGTTGACGTTGCTTTGTGCCGTTTAGCCAATCCTCCTAAATGCAATTGTGGAGCGTCGGCGCTACTAACTACTCTCAGCCAACATGGAGCATTCACTGTCTTCTATCGCTGTGGATTGCCAGATTATGTAAGTTCTCATGAAAGCAATCTATCTCTAAGCTTGTATGCATTTTGCACATACAATGTTACACTTTGAACATTTATTTTTTGTAGAGGGTTCCCATCTTGTGACTTTGAGGAGTACAACTATGGACCCAAATCGCACTGGCCTTCTGAGTATGAATTTACAGAGTTTGAAGCAGGCATTAAGCCATGGCCATGCACAAAGATGCTAGACCGTAAGTGCAAGTGTGGCATCAAGGCTCGCGAAGGAGTTGTTCCGTCTGAGCTAGGATACAGATACTACTCTGGCAATGCTTATGGAGGGCCGTCTGAGTTATGGGTGAGTTCACTGAACCGGTGAAGTTACTACATGAACATAGGCCACCGGTTTGTTTGCTTATTCCTTTGTGTTTGCTTAGGTGGGGATGACATGCGATTGGGAGGACTTCCCTGGTCGTGGAGAGTTACTAGAGAGGCTGAAGATACGTTCACCTCTCGAAAAAGACAGGAAGCATTGGATGCGAGAGGAGAAGCAGATAGAGGTGAGGACGAGGTACGGGGTAGAGATGCCATCATGGAAGACCCGTAACAGGATTTTAGAGGGCTTTCCTCGAGTGATCGGTCGACAGCTGAATTTTTACAATAACGAGGTCGAGTTGATGAGCTTTTAGCGACAAAACAAGGAGGCCTACCACTTTAAGGAGGCCGAGGATGCGAGGGAGATGGCCTTTTTCCATAGGCATTTGAATCATCGCTTATGTGAGTAATTGATTTTTGAAATTTGTTTTGACTTGTGCATCTTCTTACAATTGTTGCCAATGAGACATTGTTTAGTTCTTGTAGTCCCCGATGATGCACCGAACGACGGCCATATCCTCGCACACATGGAGGAGGACGATGACGATGATGATGACGATGACGATGACGATGAGTAGTGTTTCCTCTCAACTGATGCCTACAAGGCGCAGTACATATTTTGCAAATGCCAATAGGTTTGGCATTACATAGGTCTTGTATATGGTAGATGGATGACTAGTACAATAACGCTACTTCTTTTGTGCAAAGGCAGCAAGATCTATACATATTTTGCAAATGGCCATGGGTTGCCATTTGGTAGTACTTGTTCATGGTAGATGGATGACTAGTGTTAGTATTAGTGGTTGTATATGCTAGATGGACCACTTATATATGTAAGTGATGATGATGATGATGACCTTGAGTTGTACGAACAATGCTACGAACTCCTTATCGTGTATAATGCTTCAAACTCGTTATGGTCTAACTCCTTATGGTGTGTAATGCTATGTGAACAATGTTTAACTTTGTATTCGTGGTTTATGATTTCAACAATTCCTGCAATTTGAATTTTAGTTGAAAACATTGCAAATCTTCCACTTTTCATTTCTCTGCCTCCGAGCCCGAAGACCCCATTGACATCCATTCTTGCAAAGCACCGTGTACCCCTTGTTGTTGTCGGAGTGGGTCACATAATATGGCCTATGAAACCTAACGGCATAATCCATCAGGAAATACTTGAGATGCTCCAACGTATCAAATCTCATTCCCTTCTTAATCTCCACCTCCTCACTATCTGGTACCTCATTGGCCAACAACGTCAAACCAGTGTCACATATTGCCTCGTCAACCGTACTAATGTCCATGAAATTTGGTACCGAGGGTACCTCCACATGGATAGCCTTCAATTGCCTCAATTCGACGTCATTGTATTCCATTCTTAATGACCCATCAACTGGGACACATATTGCGTTCGCAAACCCTCCCTCACAACAATCACTTTCATCCTCACTGCTAGGCTCGGATCTGTACTCGTCCTCCAACACATCATCCGAAGTACTTGGCCCCGAAGTCAAGTCATCTTCGTCCGCGGAGGCAACATCAACTTCGTCATCCTCCGATCCTTGGGATATGTCATCCATATCATGTGTTCCACCTCCGCTACCATCATCCTCATCAAACGTTTCTTCATCGAAATCATCATTCAAGGCACCGGGCTCACATGACCTATCAACTTCTCTAACGATAACCGTCTATAACTCTTCATCTTGGGTAAGGTTCTCTACGGGCTCTACATCCACATTATCATCCACAGCAACCACAATTGGGCTACACCCCTTATCCACAACAACTTCCAAGCACCTAACACTACTACTCTTGACAACTTCTACGTAGTTCTTCCATTCATCCTCACATGACAAAGACATCAACATATAGTGTGCTCGTTCCTTCTCACAATCAAATCGACCTCTCAATCTTAGTGGCCACCCAAATTTATCCCGGCATTTGCTAACCAAACCATCAAAGGTAGAAGGTGTACTAAAGAACTGAACATGTTCTTGCATGCTTTCAAACTCCCTATTTCCTTTAACTTTGCCACCATAAAACAATCGCACTAACCGATCCATCTACAAAATAGAAACGAACACAACAACAACACATGAACTACACATTTTGGAAATAAATCATATCCATTCACTAATACACTACAATAGGTCCATGCATCAACTACCTAGGTCCATGTCAACAAAGGCAACACACTAACCCATCCAAATCTCCATGCATCACCTACCTAGGTCCATGCAACACGTAGTTTACGTCGAATCCACGAGAAGAGTATATCCTAAACCTAATAAACATAGCAAATTTTAACAACCAACGCTACAAACATTCACAGCCTCCCAAATTTCCTAACCCTAGTCAACCAAGAAATGAACTAACAAATCAAGAAATCGAGGACATGGAGTTTTACCTCGCAGTGTACTGCACTCCACAAAGCTAGGACGTCCACTCACCGGTGATGGGAAGCCGGCCGGCGTGGCCGGTGTGGCCAGGCACCAAGGCCGCGGCAAGCCTCCTAGGCCGCGCCCTATTCCTCCATGGGTGCCGTAGGAATAGAGGGAGATGTAGAGGGAGAGGGAGGGAGATGGTCGCCGAACTGGGAGAGGGCGGGGTGGCGCGGTGGCGGTGGCCTGGGCGCGGTTGCGGGGCGGCGGCGGTGGGTGGGTTCATGAGCAGGTGAGAGCGAGAGAAAGAGAGAGAGAAAAGAAATGGGACGGGCCGGCCAAAACCTAACTCGTCTTGTCACGCCAGCCTGCCTGGCACGATAAGGCTGGGCCCACGCTTCGCCACGCCAGCTTAGGTCAACGTCGGGCGCCACCGTGGCTCGGCTTGTCGCGCCAGCGCATGTGGCGCGACAACGTGGTACTGTCGCTGGTGCGACCAAAAGGGTCAGTTTGTGCAAATACTTATTTTTTGAGATTAGTTTTAAAATATTGATTAAAATTGGATAAAAAAATAAAAAAATTCCGGTGGGGTGCCGTGCCGCCGCGCCCGTGTTCACCGTCCTCTGTTCTAGGCTGGCTGCTCGCCATGGTCTTTGTAATCGTACCTTCCACTAGGTTTCTAGCATCATTAAGTTCATATAAGTCTACAAACACATGCATACGTTGATCATTGAATTCAACACCTGCTCCGTGCTCAGATTGCATGAGAAATCCACAAATCATCGTTTCAATTCTCTCAATCAAAACTCATAAGGTATAGCATTTCTGAAAAGAAAAGAGAGAGAGGAGGAGGAGATTCTGGTGTCACATTTTTGGTACAAGGAAAAGGAGAGAATCTTCTGGCTCCGAGCAGATCACCAAGCCAGGGCCATGCTGTGTCTCTCTCCTTTCGCTTTCACCGGGGACATGCAACACAAGACATTTACCACCATCGACAAGGGCGGTTCCGCCTCTTCCTCCTTGCCGGTACACAGAATCCATGCCTTCGTTTTCACACGATGTGCTGATTTTATTCGGGTATAATCCCTCTTAATTATTATTATGATACATAATTAATATTATATATATCGTTGAATATATTTTCGTAATAAACTTATTTGGAGATACAAATGTTGCTAATATTTTCTATAAATCTAGCCAAACTTATAAAAATTTGACCAAAAAAATCTCATATCAACACTTGTGTTTACACCAAAATTTGGAGAGAAATCGTGGGAACTCAAAGCTTCCAAAATTGTGTCGATCAAGGAATCGATTGCATAAGGATTGATATCAGCTGATTCAGATACGACTCTGGAATCGGATCTCTTTGGATGACATCAGCAGATAGCGATGATGAGCTACGGTTGGCGCCGAGAAATTACATATCGGACTCTACAAAAAGGGAAAGATTAGGGTCCAAGTTATCTTAAATTAGAAATGTTTTCTTCTATGCGGAAGGTTGTAATGAGTCGTGCTCGAGTAGAATTCATTTTTAGGCTCCGGGTATAAATATTGGACCCCGACTATTGTAAGGACACACGATCAATCAAATACAAGTTACTTACTTTTTTCGGCTCCGGCCACCCCTTAGGAGTAGGAGTAGAGTAGATCTCAGCGAGTTCTTCAGCGAGTAGGGCTGCATCGGTCCGGCCGACCTCTAGCTTGTCTGTAAGTACCGTCATGGCTTATACTTTTGTTCGTACGACTGCATCGATCCGGTCGACCTTCACTGCGACTCTGGTATAAGCTAGTTATCGACTCTTGTTTAGTTCAAGTACGGCTGCATCGATCTGGTCGACCTCCACTGCTCGAACTAGATTAAGGTCAAGTTATCAGCTCTATCTAAGGGTGGCATCCTTCGGATAGATTCATTAAGTTACCGATATTGCTTATTGCTTTCATTATTTATTTAATTACAGCAATATCACTTCGCCCAATTGAGATTGATCTAGATCGGCCTTATATCCTATTTAACCCATCATTTGTTAATCTAAACTGATCTAATCTGCATCTTAAACGATGAGTTATGTTTTATCGACTGTTTTATGTCAATCTTGATCGTGCATAGTATATGGTTAAGGCATGTCTGGTCTTGAATAGATCTATTGGCTAACAAAAACCGTTCCGTGGCCCGTTATCACGGCCTGTGTGATTCTGCCTCACACCCCACTGTTAGCACCGTGGAGTGGGGATCGTTATTTGGTAGATCTGTTCCTGATAGGGCATGACCTTAACTGTGCGCTATGCCTGAATCTGTTGTTTTAGCCGATATCGAGTGCTTTCGCATATGCAGTTCACGTCACGAGACCGTTGAAGTAAAGATAGGTTGAAAGATGTGTTAGCCCCATGATCTTATTATTGTATTACGACCTGCATGATTCTGCCTCATGCCCCACTGATATTAGTAATAAGTTAGGGTCATTGAATCTATTGTTGTTTCTACGGCCTGTATGATTCTGCCTCATGCCCCACTGGTCATAGCGATAGATGAGATGTAATATGTTCATTAGATTTATCTTTATTAAATGGTTAAATAATGATGAGCTACTTCTTTTATATAAAAAGGGGATTCGGTTACTTGCAGTCATTGGCTTAGTGTAAACTAATTATTGTTGACATCCTGTTGGCATTGATTAATATTTGTCTAAATAATAAGATTCATCCTGAATGATAACCGATCTTCCTTCCATAACTCCATGAGCTTTAATTGATTTATTCTTATGAGTATGCTGGAATCGGATATTTAGTCGATCTCATTCCATATCGGTTCTCAGAGTCACATTCGGGACTGTCTGGCAACACCGACATGTTCCGCCTTAAATTACTGATTAGCTTACTCTTTTTATCAATTGCAGGATTAAATTGACTGGCACGTCTTAGGAGGTGTACGCAGGATCTACCATCCCTGCGTTGAAGCCAGGCGGATCTATAGCTCCATCGAGCAGACCCTTCCGGCTTGCTCGTGTGCTCTCGGCACAGGATGAAATTTCGTGCCGACATACGTTCTGGCACGCCTGGTGGGACCCCACAATCGTCATGGCGGTTCACAACAACAACGACATCCTTATGGTACATTACGAAGGCCTACCTGATGGAGATAAAGATGTCATCAGCAAAGCTATAGAAGAATTCTAGAACAAGTGTTTATTGTCCTACACCAAAACACGTGACAATATAATTGTTCAGAAATATCCACTACCCAGAGTTCTGTTGCATGGGCAGACAGATGCAAATGAGACTAAAGACAGGTGTTTCTTCACGGAAGCTATAAACAAGTCTGTTCATGATGCCATATTGAACCATAATGAAATTTTCTTGAACACATTCCATAATACTATGAAGGAGGTGTTTCATGGGTTTCCAGTTGATCAGGTTGGACCAGCTTATTACAACATTCCACATCCATCGACTCAAGGGACTAATCAAACTGGTACCAGCTGTTAAGAAGCAGCACCAGCTGGTAATGATGATGTCCAGGTAGTTCAGAGTTCATCTGAACAAGCTCAAGGGGTTACTACAAATCAGATACAGTATAATCCTGGATCGTCAGTGCAGCATGTGCAACAGCCTATGGGGCAAGGTCAGAACTAGGTGATTAATTTTGGCACATCAGGCCACATACCGTCATTGTCTCAAAAAATAGCACCATCAATCCAAAGGATCCGTAGAGATATAGATCCTAATGTCTATAACTAGAGACTTGAAGCAGCAAACCAGCAAAGGACCCAGTAGATAGAGATTCCATAGGGGTATCATTATGGTACAGATTATAACACCCTTCACATGATTCTGAATCCAGGGTATCAAGGCACACGGGATTTCAATCCACAGATGGATCAGCAAGTGCAGAGAAATCTAAATTCACATGTTGATGAGTTGTTACTAAAGGTGACCGAGATGATAAAGAATTAGTTCGGTCTGAAGCCAAAAGGGCTGACCTTCTCGTACAAACGCCGATATCCAGAATGGTATGATTTGGTCGCTCTTCCTATAAATTACAGGCTCCTAGAGTTTGCTAAGTTTACTAGCCAAGACAGCACAAGCACAATAGAACATGTCGGTCGGTATCTTACATAGTTGGACGAAACATCTGTTGAAGAGGCCCATCAAGTTCATTTCTTCTCCTTGTCCCTGTCAGGGCCAGCCTTCACTTGGTTTTCATCACTGTCAGTCAACTCCATTGTCAATTGGTCTGACCTAGAAAAGAAATTTCATACATATTTTTATACTAGGACTGGAGAAAAGAAGATTACCGATTTGACGACTATAAGGCAGAAAACTAACAAATCGGGCACTGAGTTTCTTCAGAGGTTCTGAGAGACTAGGAATTTGTGCTTCTCATTAAACTTGGCTGATGATCAGCTAGCTGCTTTGGCCGTTCAAGGAATGCTGCCAATAGGGAAAGAAAAATTGATGGGACAAGAATTTGACAACCTGGGTCAATTGGCTTAATGAGTAGCGGCGGTCAATAGCCAATTCTAGAGTATGCGTAGAGATACCCAATTCTAGAAGAGTACCACAGTGGCCGAAGCTTATAATCCATGCTCAGTCGATGATGGCTATAAAGATGATGAAGAAGAGGTTGCCACGGCTGAATGTATTTGGGGCAAAAAGACAGTAATGGTACCAAATCCTTGGTGAAGAGGAGTCGAGGAGAGCTATGACTTTGATGTTACAAAATCAGACAAGTTCTTCAATTTCTTGCTTGAGAAGGGATAGATCAAGCTACCCGATAATCATGTTATGTTGCCCCCTGATCGGTTGAAGAATAAGAAGTTCTGTAAGTTTCATAACGCTACTTCTCATTCCACTGATGAATGCAGAATTTTCTGGCAGCATATACAGAGGGCTATTTAGCAAGGAAGACTCAAATTTGATATGCCTCGGAAAATGAAAATCGATGATAATCCTTTCTCAGAAGATCAAAACATGGTCGATGCTAGGCTGCTCAAAGGAAAGACTAAGGTCCTAACATTAACCAAATCAAGAGAAGCTAGAACAGTCGATCCCGAGAAGCAAATATCAGCTGACGAATACAGGGAAATTAGAAGACGTCGCGACAAGCAAAAGAGCTGATATGAGCAGGGAGAAACATCAAAAGGTGGGGCAATAAAGCCGCGGGTTACATCTTGAATTCTATTGAATAAATGGCAGCGGCAGAAGGAAAAGGATTATCAGCGTTGGTTAGAAGAGCAAGAATACCAGCGTCAACAGGAAAAAGAGAGGTATGAAAGAAAGCAAACTGAATCACATTAGAATTGTCCTTTCTTCAGACATTACTGGAACGAAGGTTTGAAGTGCCTACCAGGAATAACTGTCTAGAGTGCAGCGATCAATATTGGGAGTTTAGGCAATCTCAAACCAACCGCCGGTCTATCCATGCTCAAGATGCGTATCATCATAATAACATGGATCGGTGCTTAAAAAATGGAAGTGTTCATAATCGGCTTGGAAAAAGAGTTGTTGATCAAGACTGGGCTGATTATGAAGAAGAAGGCAACGAGAGAGAATATGTTTGGCAGGAAGGCCAATGGTGTCTAGGAGGTTTAATAAGAAGCCAGAAGAGAACGGTGTAACGCCTAAGGAATAAAGAGTTGGAACAGGCTCAGGCATCCAGTAAACCTCAAGTATGGTGTGCTAAGCAAACAGCCGATAGAAGACAACCATTGGCTAATATTCAAATGGCTTTTCTGTTGCCATCAGAGTTCAGAGCTCTGATAGATCAAGAAGTTTATTCAGTTTTTTATGAATCGGAGTATGAAGAGATAATTGCCAAGCTAACGGTTATACAGCAGGCTATATTTGATAAACCAGTCAAACATCGGCACTTAAAGGCTTTATATGTGAATGGTTTTGTTGATGGGAAGCCGATGAACAAAATATTGGTGGACGAAGGTGCTTCTGTTAATCTTATGCCTTATAGCACTTTTCGTAAACTTGGCAAGAGACCAGGAGATCTGATTGAGACCGACATGATGCTTAAGGACTTTGGGGGTAAT